TCTGTTCACAAGCCATGGGATGAAACAGATGAAGATGGCACTGAGACTTTTGCAACTGTGCAGACAGTGAGTATATCTATTACTACTTTAAATAGCAATGGTATTTTGTTTCTTCAGAGTCTTGATTGGTTTACAGGACTTTTATTAGAGCCCCTGGTCACAGACAATTGAGAGAATTTTTTGTATTTTTAGCAGATCTTAAGATATCTCACGAGTCATATTTGAGGATAAACAGCAATTATTGTTCTACTCCCACTTGTTGACTATGAGATAGTTAACCCTTTCACCCCCAAGATCTCATTAGTACCTCTCCTTACTGTCTGCTATACAATTCTGTAGATTTTATTCTGAGAATTTTCCATTGGATTAACCAATAATCTCCTTATTGATATTTTTCTTTGATCTCATCACTTGCCTGCTTGATATTGTATTGGTATTGAAAGGAAGAATTCTGTGGGTGGGTGGGTGGCTCAATGTATCGATGATATAGTTTCTTTCCCCAGCAAATGTTCCGTTTCTTTTTGCCCTTCTGCTTCCATTTCCAATCCATGCTCAGTTATAACTTTCTTTCCCACAAATAACTACATGCTTCTGTCCATCCCAGCATTTTCTGTCAGTTCACCGATAGCAATTTTTAGAAAATACCAAGTGAATACCCAGGTGAATAGTGCTTTTGGCGCTTGTTGATTGGCTAATTGGGAAGTGCCCGAGCAGCCGAAGAGACAAAATTGCGCATCAAGAATTTTATTTCGACCATTTTCGGCACATTGACAGATAAAAACTAATTCTGTTCATGTGTGGTATATACTAAAACAATTATCACCCTTCACTTTGGTGAATAACTGTGTAGTATTCTTTGGTAGAGTTGGACTAGCAATGTAATCTAGGTACGTGCTTTACCCTAAAATAGACAACACATAACAACTAGTGAGGGAGAAACTTTGCAACACCGAATCCATTCTAGAACCCTCTTTCATACAGAAGAGCTTCTTTTTGCTGATTTTTCTGTTCTCCAAAATCGAATGTCTGATGTTTTTGATGATTGTTAGAGAATCATTGCACGATAGCGACAGTACACCCAATATTTGCCTTCAATCGTTAGTGAAACTCCTGAAAGGATTTCAAAGACTGCTCAAATTAACCGATCCTATAACTTTTGTGAGGGATTAATGTATTCTGCAACTCCTGTAGGCCGACTGAACCTATGCTACTAAGCATTAAGGACACAATGAATTCCCCGTGGGTGGTGATGATAGTCCATTCTCCCCTTACTTGCTCGTGTCTGCAGCGAGAGATCATTCCTTATATTCAGCCATTTTGTGTGACCCTGTAACAATCGATCGGAAAAGGACTGGGCAGGAGGATCGAAGTGCTTATTTGGTTGAAGAGAAAGAGAATACCCCTGAATGATGTCTAAAGCTTTTTATTCAAACTCTTAAGATCTAAATACTCATCGATTACAGCAAATAAAGGGTCTAGGAGTAAAGTATAAACAAAACTGAAATCTTTAAGAGTCCAGTTGAAACTGTATTGCTTAAGTGTCACTAGTAACCAGTGCACAAAATCATTGGTTAGTCCCTTTAAAAACGGTTTCATAGAAATAATTTATACTTAGAAGATCTTTTTGCTCACTAACTACATGTAATATATTTTCCGAAAAATCTGGAAAGTAATGAATTGTGCAATGGTTTTCTGACAAGTGACTCAAAACTTTATTGCTTGTTAAACAGAGGTAATTCCCCGAATATTTAATCCCGTTAAAATATTAGAGTATATATAAATCAAATACGAAAGGCAGTTTAAAAAATTACAAAATGTCATTACATTTTTCCTTGCAAAAAGAAGAACTATGAAAACCATCTTTAATCATATTCCAATGGAGAAAGAGTTTTTCATCATACTTGAGGTAACATAAGGTCCCTTGAGACTAAGTTTACAAAAAAGTTTCTGATGGGTTTGGCGTTACAGAGATATCATTTGAACTTTACGAATGGGGTATGATGGAGAGCCTCTCTCTCGAAAGAAACTATTCAATCTAGGCTTGGGCTACTTAGCGTATCACTTTCGAAAATAACTTGCGTTCAATTTGCTTGACATTATTAAGTAATCGCTGTCGAAAAGACAGATTAGGAAAATTTGCTTGACTTGACCACTTAACCATTCACTTTCGAAAAAGAAAGTTCTCGAAGTTTGTTCATGGTCTAGCTTTCATTAACTCTGCGTTGTGAACTGTTCTGTTCCATGTGATATGTTACACTTTCTCATAGAAATGTCCTGTGGTGACAATGGCTGAATACCACGAGTTCAGCTCGCTTACGTATTTCTTCATTTAAAGGGGGGGATAGACAATTATGAGGTTTGCTCAGTCCTAGGTCCTGTACTCTCCAACACAGAGGGTTTACTTTACCCCAGGCTCTTCGGGTGTTGTTGACGCCCACCAATCTCCAAAATCAAAAGTCACGTTGTCGCCAATTAACATAAAGGAGGCCCACTTAGAAACATCTTCAAAGCCGTTATTCCTCATCCACTTCCTGGCCTCGTGGAGAGACTCACTGGCACTTTCCCCACGGAACAAGTGTTCGTAGAAACAATTCATGAACTGCTCTGTGGCTGTGTCATCCAGGGCCCACCGTGCCGCTAACACCGAGCGAGCACCGGATCCTATGAACGCTCGAGCGATTCCGATAACTCCCTCGGCTCTAATCTGTCCACGGGCACTGTGACAACAGCTAAGTACCACCAGTTTCGCTCGCAGCTTAATTTGTGAAATGTCCGCCATCGTCAAAAGGTAGGCTTCTTCTCTTGGAATAGAAGAAGGCGTAAGGCGCTTTGGACAAAGAAGAATCTCCCCTCTTTCAGCATCACCATGGGCAGCAAGATGAATGAGACTCACTGAGTTTATCGCTTCAAGTACAGCCTCTTTTGTCGCACGGTCTGCAATCAGAGGCGTTACGCCAAGAAGTCTTCCAATCATCGATGCTTCATTTCTTGCACATGGCAATTGTGAAATTGTCTTTCGTCGTCCCTTGTAAATCACCTCTCCAACCTCAGGGTCACCCACTATCAGTGCACCCGTCTGACTATGATACTCTGGGGGGCTCTCCTGAATGAGCTTAAGAGTCGTTAAAGAGGGAACGATGCGGATCCTGGCCGTCTCTGATAAGAACTTGCCCCCTTTTTCACTTAAGGCTGCAAATGGGACCTGGTACATACAGGAATCGGGAACAATTATGATCTCGGGCTCCTGCAGTAAATCGGCCACAGGAGCGATGATTATCTTGTGACACAAGTGAAGATTTGTTTTGATATCTTTGGCAGCATCATCATCACGCATGGGTGCGCGATTTTTATCATTAAGCGACATTGAGTCGGTATCTCCAAACGATCGATCTTCACAATTCTCTTCGGGTAAAATGCCAAGGCCGCGGAAGCTTTCTGAGAAAAACTCATCTAAGACAGGGACTAATCCTGTCACCTTGCTTGGGTCAAGACACACCTCTCTTTCCAAAAATAGAATAGCTCTCCTTGCTTTGAGAATCCAAAACCGAACAGATTTTTTATCAACCGAAATGTACAGGCATGCACAGTCTCCTTTGGTGATAATATTCTGAATGCCATACCATGTTTGGGGATTGCTAGATATCTGCTGTGTGACAGAGTACTGAGTTGCCATCAAGTCGGCCAGGCATCTTGCCCGTCTCAGCTCCTCGACATAAAGAGCGTCTTCTGGCTTTTCGGTGGAAGATAGTAACCCACTGAGTAGCTTGTTGGGAAAGGTGCCGTACGCCTCTAAAAGTGATATTTTAAGCTGATCGTTGTCTTTTAGAGAACTTCGTACAGAGTCAAATTTTTCAATGCTTTGAAAAAGGTACGAAGAGGCCTTTTCAAAATCCATTTGAGATGCCTTCAGCAACACTAGTGAACAGAGAGACCGATACTCACTCAAGCTGTGCCCAATCTCCTTACTTAGTCGGAGGGCCTTCTTAAAGTATTCTTCGGCCCTGTCATAGCTACCAAGTGACTCGAAACATGATCCCAAATTTGCATAATTGAATACTAATCCTTTTCTGTCGCCAATTTCCATATTAATTGCAAGGGCTCTGTTGTAATATTCCTGAGCATTGTTGTATTCACCACGTTTCTGAGCAATTCTCCCAAGGTGTTCTAAATTAACTGTTTCTCCAGTTCTGTGACCGGTTTCCTTTTTAATTGCCATTGCTTTCTCAAGATACTTGTCGGCCTTCCCATATTTACCAATGGACAGAAATAAAGCTGTTAGGCTTGTATAAATGTCTCCCTCTAATCTTCGGTAGCCACTTATCTTTCCAATGTGTAATGCTTTCTCTAGATATTCTTGAGACACACCATATTCACCCAGAGACTGAAAAAATGCTCCCAAGTTTCCATAGCTTAAAATTTCTCCATCAATGCCACCGATTTCCACTCGAATAGCAAGTGACTTCTCAAGATGCTCTCGAGCCTTGTCATATTGGCCAAGCGATTTGAACAATGATCCCAGTTTTAAATAGCATGAAGCTTCTCTGTCTCTGCTGTTATTTTCTATGTTAATAGCGAAAGCTTTCTCCAGATACTCGCGGGCTTTGTCATATTGATCAAGCGATGAGAATAATGCTCCTAGGTTTTCGTAGCATGAGGCTTCTCCATCTCTATCGCCAATTTCAATGTTAATAGCAAGTGCTTTCTCCAGATACTCTCCAGCCTTGTCATATTGACAAAGTGAATGAAAAAATGTTCCTAGGTTTCCGTAGCATTGAGCTTCTCCATCTCTGTTGCCAATTTCTTTCTTGATAGCGAGTGCTTTCTCCAGATACTCTTGGGCTCTGTCATAATGACCAATCGATTGTAACAATCTTCCTAGGTTGCCGTAGCATGAGGTTTCTCCGTCTTTATCTCCAATTTCTATCTTGATAGCGAGTGCTTTCTCCAGATACTCTTGGGCCTTGTAATTTTTACCAAGCGAATGAAACAGTGTTCCAAGGTTTCCGTTGCATGAAGCTTCTCCATCTCTATCGCCAATTTCTATTTTGATTGCGAGTGCTTTCTCCAGATACTCTCTGGCCTTGTCGTATTGACCAAGCGATGTAAACAATGTTCCTAGGTTTCCGTAGCATGAAGCTTCTCCGTCTTTGTTGCTAATTTCTATCTCGATAGCGAGTGCTTTCTCAAGATACTCTCGGGCCTTGTCGTATTGACCAAGCGACTTGAACAATGTTCCTAGGTTTACGTAGTATGAAGCTTCTCCATCTCTGTTGCCAATTTCTATCTTGATATCGAGAGCTTTCTCCACATACTCTCGAGCCTGGCTAAATTGACCTAGTGATTTGTACAATGTTCCTAGTGTTAAGTGGCATAAAGCTTCTCCATCTCTATCGCCAATTTCTATCTTGATAGCGAGTGCTTTCTCCAGATACTCCCGGGCCTTGTCATATTGACCGAGCGACTTGAACAATGATCCTAAGTTTCCGTAGCATGAAGCCTCTCCATCTCTGTGGCCAATTTCTATGTAAATAGCGAGTGCTTTCGCCAGATATCCTCGGGCCTTGTCGTATTGACAAAACGAGTGGAACAGTTTTCCTAGGTTAACGAAGCATGAAGCTTCTCCTTCTCTGTTGCCAATTTCTATCTTGATAGCGAGAGCTTTCTCCACATACTCTCGGGCCTGGACATATTGACCGAGCGATTGGAACAATATTCCTAAGTCTCCGTAGCATGAAGCTTCTCCATCTCTATCGCCAATTTCTATCCTGATAGTGAGTGCTTTCTTTACATACTCTCGGGCCTTGAAGTTTTTACCAAGGGAGTGGAACAGTGTTCCTATGTTTACGTAGCATGAAGCTTCTCCATCTCTATTGCCAATTTCTTTTTTGATTGCGAGTGCTACCTCCAGATATTCTCGGGCCTTCTCGTATTGACCAAGCGATGTAAACAATGTTCCTAGGGTTACATAGCATGAAGCCTCTCCATCTCTATCGCAAATTTCTATCTTAATAGCGAGTGCTTTCTTCAGATACTCTCGGGCCTTGTCGTACTGACTAAGCGACTTGAATAATGTTCCTAGGTTTACATAGCATGAAGCTTCACCATCTCTGTTGCCAATTGCTATCTTGATATCGAGAGCTTTCTCCAGATACCCTTGGGCCTTGACATATTGACCAAGCAATATATACAATGTTCCTTGGGTTAAGTAGCATGAAGCTTCTCCATCTCTGTTGCCAATTTCTACCTTGATAGCAAGTGCTTTCTCCAAATAATCTAGGGCCTTGTCATATTGACTAAGTGATTTGAACAATGATCCTAGGTTTACGTAGCATGAAGCTTCTCCATCTCTATTGCCAATTTCTTTTTTGATTGCGAGTGCTACCTCCAGATATTCTCGGGCCTTCTCGTATTGACCAAGCGATGTAAACAGTGTTCCTAGGGTTACGTAGCATGAAGCCTCTCCATCTCTATCGCAAATTTCTCTCTTAATAGCGAGCGCTTTCTCCAGATACTCTCGGGCCTTGAAATTTTTGCCAAGCGAAAAGAAAAGTCTTCCTAGGTTTTCGTAGCACAAAGCTTCACCATCTCTATCGCCAATTTCTATCTCGATGGCGAGTGCTTTCTCCAGATACTCTCGGGCCTTGACATATTGAGCAAGTAATTTGAACAATGTTCCTAGGTTTACGTAGCATAAACCTTCCCCAGCTCTATCGCCAATCTCTATCTTGATAGCTAGAGCTTTCTCCACATACTCTCGAGCCTGGCTAAATTGACCAAGCCATTTATACAATGTTCCTAGTTTTAAGTAGCATGAAGCTTCCCCATGTCTGTGACCAATTCCTACCTTGATAGCGAGTGCTTTCACCAGATACTCCCGGGCCTTGTCATATCGACCGAGCGACTTAAACAATGATCCTAAGTTTTCGTAGCATGACGCCTCTCCATCTCTATGGCCAGTTTCTATCTTAATAGCGAGTGCTTTCTCCAGATACTCTCGGGCGTTGTCATATTGACCAAGCGATATGAACAATGATCCTAGGTTTCCATAGCATGAAGCTTCTCCATCTCTATCGCAAATTTCTATTTTAATAGCGAGTGCTTTTTCAAGATACTCTCGGGCCTTGTCATATCGACCAAGCGAAATGAACAATATTCCAAAGTTTCCGTAGCATGAAGCTTCTCCATCTTTGACGCCAGTTTCTATCATGATGGCGAGTGCTTTTGTCAGATGCCCTTGGGCCTTTTCGTAGTGACCAAGCGACTTGAACAATTTTCCAAGGGTTAAATAGCATGAAGCTTCTCCGTCTCTGTTGCCAATTTCCATCACGATAGCGAGTGCTCTCTTCAGATACACCTGGGTCTTGTCATATTGACCGAGCAATCTGAACAATGAACCTAGGGTTAAGTAGCATGAAGCTTCTCCATTTCTATTGCCAATTTCTATCTTGATAGCGAGTGCTTTCTCCAAATACTCCCGCGCCTTGTCATATTGATCAAGCGATTCGAACAATCTTCCTAGGTTTCCGTAGCATGAGGCTTCTCCATCTTTATCTCCAGTTTCTATCTTGATCGCGAGTGCTTTCTCCAGATACTCTCGGGCCTTGTCATATTGACCAAGCGAATAGAACAGTGTTCCTAGGTTTCCGTAGCATGAAGCTTCTTTATCTCTGTTGCCAATTTCTATGTTAATAGTAAGCGCTTCCTTCAGATACTCTCCGGCCTTGTCATATTGACCAAGCGCTTGGACCAATGTTCCTAGGCTTCTGCGGCATGAAGCTTCTCCATCTCTATGGCCAATGTCTATGTTAATAGTAAGCGCTTTCTTCAGATACTCTCGGGCGTTGTCATATTGACCAAGCGATATGAACAATGATCCTAGGTTTCCATAGCATGAAGCTTCTCCATGTCTGTGGCCAATTTCTATCTTGATGGCGATTGCTTTCTCCAGATACTCTCGGGCCATGTTAAATTGATAAAGCGAGTGGAACAATATTCCTAGGTTTTCGTAGCATAAAGCTTCTCCATCTCTATGGCCAATTTCTATCTTAATGGCGAGTGCTTTCTTCAGATACTCTCGGGCCTTGTCGTATTGACCAAGCGATCGGAACAATGTTCCCAGGCTTACGTAACAGGAAGATTCTGCATTTCTGTCGGCAATTTCTGTGTTGATAGCAATTGCTTTTTCCAGATTCTCTCGGGCCTGGTTATATTGACCAAGCAATTTGAACAATGATCCTAGGTTTTCGTAGCATTCTGACTCTCTTCGTGCATTGCCAGTCGTTTTGAAAATGTTTTTTGCCACGTCATAAAATCCTTCAGCCTCCAGAAACCTTTTGGTGATGTGAAGTATTCTTGCCAGTGATAAATTTAACCATCCTTTTATGACGTGGTCATCAGAGTCCTGATAAAAGAGTAATTGTTCTCTGACTTGTTTTTCAAAACTCGTTGAATTATATACTGTAGACCAAGCTTTTGCCTTTAAACTTAGAATGCGTTGGTGGTATAATTTGGTAACTGCGCTCTCATTGCCTAAATCTCCATTGCTGAGCAAAATAAAGCATTCCTCGCACAACTGGATGGCTTTTAAAACGAAACCAGTGTTGAGAAGGAGCGTGGCGACAGCTAAACCTATGTTGATAGCTGACGTAGTAAATTCTTCTCCTGTGTTGTTCATCATAGCTCTTGTCGCTGTGGCATTTAGGAAAAAAGAAGAAAATATTCAAATACTTTGTGCCTGAGTAGTCTGAAAAATTGTTGCAGTTGAACTTAGCATTTAGTATGACTCAGATATGACGTACGTACGTCCCTTATAGTATCTAAAGGTTCTATGAGGGGGCATGGGTTCGAGACTATACGGGGGACATGGGTTGGATCTCCAATTTTTCGTTCATGTAACAGAAATTTGACCCACATTCATGTTTGCGCCGCTCGTTAAGAGGTTTTTTCTCAAATCAAATGAAACAATATTGCAAAGTATATAACCGTGATTTTACCATTGCTTCATCGCACATAATATTTAATTTTGGGAATATGAGAAATGGTAATTAAAATGTGATCACTTCTTCAATCCGTTACTAACTGCCTGCTGATTGAACAGTTGCTGTGAATACGCTCAAATTAGAAAACAAGGAAGGAAATTTAATTTCATATAATTTTAACATTTCTATGATGATTGCCATAGTGATACTTCTGATAAAAGAAAATTTACACATATTGCACAACAGTTTAATTGGGAAGAGAAGAGAAGAGCAAAATTTCTCAGCAAAAAATACGTTCTTATCACCAAACATGAAGTTTGAACTTTAGATGTTCCAAAATTTTCTTGGCTGCATCCAAGCAAACTTAGGGATAAAGATTTTGAACAGGAGATTTGTCATCTTAGTATTTTCTGGGGAGGATGATAAAACATGTCTTTAAAATGGAGTGCAGCAGCCTGTGCACAAAATTTACTTGGCTTGGGTTGCGGAATTGTTTGGCAAGGGTTACACTGGGGGAACCATTAAATAAAAAGTGCAAAAAATTTCTAGCATTTCGAATGCATTTGTAATAACTCTTATTTTATATTTATATACAGAGCGGAGACTTATCGAGAGAATCCTAAACGGGTAATGAGAGAACCGAAGTGTTTGTTGATTAAGACGTAAAAAGAGAGAAATAGATAACAAACGGTTTTAAAATCGAACGCTCATCCAGCTTAATTTATGATAAAGTTCGGATGTAACGCGCGCTGTCATTGGTTGAAAGAGCGTGCTCTATGAGAGTATAGAGTATAGAGCTGAGTTAAAGCTGTCACGCCATCTACCAAATTGTACTATGTTCGACCTTTTCCAGGACTTCTTTTTAGCTTTTTCCGATAATTGAAAGTGAAATTTCGGAACAAGCGAACCGGCAAGTAGCAACAGAAGAACCAAACAAAGGTTTGTAAACATACCAGGCGCCGTAATTTACGTTATTAAAATGTGAGCAGCACGAAAATCCTCAAAAGAAAAACAAAACAGACATTCCGAGTTTTAAAGATTAATTCACGCTCAGTTAGATTGCA